AGAGAGTGGAGTTGAAGCTCTCACTCAATGGAGATAAAGCAGAGATTCAGGGGAGAAGGAAAAACTTATCCTTCCGGAAAACGTTGAAAATTTTCCCTTCAGTCCCGCTTCTAGGTCTGATCGATCAGTTGGGATCCAGTTAGGGTTTGATGTTCTGGTCGTATCTCCCCTTCAATGTGGAGCGCCCCTTCTTCTTCATCACATCTCCTATGAGTCCGATATCTCTTTTAGGTTCTCCTTGGCCATTTTCCGTCGCCCTCTCCTCCTCTTTCCTCTTGGCTTTCTCTCATACACATTTCCTTCTGGCCCGTCCCATCCGAGAAGCTGTCAGAGGGAGTAGGTGGGCTACCGTAGCATAATTATCACTTGGGAGGCTTGCCTACTGTCGGGGAACAGTCGGATAGAGATTTTATGGGCAGGCCTAGACAAGAAACTCATTATTACAGTTGGGACTATTGCAGACATGTCGCTCCTTGATAGGGCATAGTGAAAGTGGACCCAACAATTGCCCCCGACTTTTTGACTGGTTGGAAATGAGTCGAGGAGTCGATCCTTACATTGTTCATGTAAAACATTCAAGACTCATACCGCGTTAAAACGGTTCACCCCCAACTTTGCTGTGCATCTTGGGAGAGTATGAGTCTAGCTGAGGTGAAAAGAGGGCTAGGTTTCTGGAGAAACGGTTAGATGGGTCCTACCCCAGCTCAGGCGTGCATCTCGGGAGAGTACACACTTGTCAAATTAAGAGGAAATCTAGTTTTCGGAGAAACAATTGATCGCCTATGGACAAGCATCGTCCCAGAGGAATTTTACTCCTTGCTTTGTGAAGAACTCGAAAAATAGCCATCTTCATTCCCAATTGGCTTTATGAGAAAGTTCGAGCCTTATGTGACCATGGGGATCACTATAAGATAACGGCACGGTTTGAGACACCTGCTTGAGAACCACTGACGGTGCCTTGAGAAGGAGAAAATATTTTCTCGTGTCCAGGTCACTAACACTAGGGGGGAGCCGTCGCTTTTGTGAAGCATGTGTACGGGCCGCCTAGTGGCAAACAAGGCATTTATCCTGACTCCCTTGCTGCCGGAACAGTCTTTGCATCGTTCTTACGAGGAAAGTTTTATTGTTTCAGAATTGTGATTAGATCTTCCTCGACGCGAGAGACCAGAGTGTTTGGGAAGAAAAACCTCCCATAAAAGGCGATCTTGATTCCCGATAGTGCCCCGGAAGGCAAGCAAGTCTCCGGAAAGAGCATGATAAGTGGTTGTGCGGTCCCCGAAAAGAGCTGGCAAGGAAGACTCGGAGGTTTGAGAGACCGGAATCCTTGATTTCCGGAAGAAATGTGCCCCAGAGGGCAAGAAAGTCTACAGAGAAGCAAGCTGTCTGAAATTCGGACGAGGGGTTTTAATGGAAATTCAAACCACCAATAAGATGCCCCCGGAGGGTGAAATAATGCAAGTGAGGATAAATAGTTGAATTGAAGGAGCGGTGATAAAGTTGAGAGCCACAAAGACTCGGTGATCAAGCAATTGAATAAGCACGCGAGTATGGGATCAGGCAAACATGCAAAGAAGGGCCCGCTATCCGATCCGTTGCCAGGTATCTTCTATTAATACCCTTCTCACCCCAACGGTAAGAGGAGGGGAAAATCTAGACAGATACATCCATCATCTAGCTTCATTCTAAATATACACTTGCCAAAAGCTTTATCAAGATCACTCGGAGTTGATAAAATGTCCCATTCTGCTCTCCTGATCATCTTATACTCTCTTGACCAGTCTCGTGCCCTGTTCTGGATGGAGCGTCAAAGAGTGATCGGAAGGGCAACTCCATTCCATTTCGCTATGTTAGCTTCCTCTCGTTTGTGTCAGGTTGATCCGTCCCCCAGAGTTTGAATCTCCCCTAACAGGCCCGATAACCTATCATATCACTCCACATAAGTATCTCGTAATTTGCTTTCGAACAATAGTATAAATGCAATTATGTTAGTTTTTTTTTTAATTCAATTTTTTTTTGTTTATTTTGTTTCTATCTGTTTCTCAGCGTACTTATTTACTTCATATGTTTCTAAACGAATGGTTTTCTAGAAACAAAACTGTTTAAAAAAAGATATTTTTTTCCAATGTAATTTTTATTAAATATTTCCAATTCTATCTTTATTTAATTTTTATCTATTTATTTATTTTTATAGTAATAAAAATAAAAGACAAATATGTCATTTCAAAATTTTTCTTAATAAGTGTGAAAATCTCAAAAAAAATCTTCTTTGAAAACAGAGGGAATATAAATTATATAATTTGTTATTAAAAAATAAATAGTTAACGATTATTTTTTTAATTTTATAATTATAATATTTTTTAAAAATTTGTGGTATTTTGTGATGTTTCCATCATGTCTCATTCCACTCCCATCACATCCTAGATTTTTAATGAAACATATATAGAACAGCTACTTTGATTTCCATATTTCCATTATGTTTCCATTCTCCTAAAATCCTATTCTAAATTTATGTTGCCCACCTCTTATTCCATCTGCTTTTTCCAAATTTAAAATTATTATTCTCTTATATTTTGTATATTTTGTATATTTTTTATATCTATTTTTCTCTTTTTAAATTTGTTTCTATGTTTCTTATAATTTATTACTCTGATTATTTATCGAATATTCTTTAATAAATTATTATCTTTAGGTCATCATCTTATTTTCAACTATTTAAAAATTTTTAACTGATTTTATCTTATATTTTCTATTTAAAATTTATTATTTTATTAATTTTAAAATAAAAATTTTAAAACGATAATAGAAAGATTCTTTTAAAATGATAAAAAAAAGATTTTTTGTAATATTTTAAATATAAATTTGAATATCATTTAATTTATATTACTAATTTTAAATTAAATTGAGATTTTATTTTTGTATCTCATTTAATGATTTTATAGTATTATAATTTAAATTAATTAATATTATATTTAATTAATTAATATTTAAATATATATCAATTTTTCATTGGCGTTTAAATGATAAGGTTTTAATTTCTGAAGAGCTGCTTTTATCTATTATAATGTAGATAATCGACAAGTTAGAAAAGAAAAAGAAAATTAAAAGCCCTAACCTTAAAAAAAACTGTATATATCAAATCCTAACTGTTTTTATTGTTTTAAATTGGTTACTTTCATATTTTCAATTTATTTTATAAATAGTTTGTTATTAAAATCTATGCTACAGTAGTTATTGGGATCAATAACATATTTTAGTTTACGCAAAGTATTTATAAATTTTGTGTTAAAAAATTGTTTTAAAAATTACTATTGGATGTTTTTAGATTTTTTTTGATACGATTTATGGATTTCCCATGATAAGTATGATTATTCGTGGAGTTGCATCACTTTGCGCATACAAGATACTAGGTATTTTCCCGCATTTGTGCGGGGTTCGATTAAACTTTTTTAAAAGTATAATATTAGTTTATTTATAGATAAAAAATCAGATTTTATAATGATTCGAAGCCAAACTTAATATATTTTTAAAAAAATACAATTTTCATGAGTATATTATTTTTTTGTGACAAAGTAAAATATATTATTTATATCTTATTTTCTAATATATTTTATATTATCCGATTAAAACTTATATGTATACTTTGTTGTGTTGTTGCATTTATCAAACATGAAATTGGTAGATTTGGATTAATGAAATTCAAAGTTTGCAAAAAAAAAAAAAAAAACATAGCAATCCAAAATGACCAAAACCAAAGAATCTTTGTTTCATATTAACTTAACATTAATTAATATATATAGAGTTTTAAAACGCTTTAAATGATTTAGGGTTTTACTTGTGGTCGCATAAATCAATTAAGTTAGTCAAAAATATTAATAGGTTAAACAATCAAATTAAAATTAGTTTAATGAAATAATTAGGATTTTTTTTTTATTTATGCTAGTTACCTTTTTTAGTAAACTGAATATTTTTATAATATAAAATCGAATTTGGAAATCTAGATTTAATAAAAAACGAAAATCAATTAAAATTAGATTATATTAATTTGTTAATTTTATTAAAGATAATTAAAGTAAATTCACATAAGGGGCTAAAGGTAATCAACCATCATAACTCTTAACTACAGCCCAACTTGTTTTCTCAATTAATAATATGATTATTAATCTTTTTTTAAAAAAAAAAACTAAAAACGAGTTGGAGTTTCATCCATATTTTAAAGATTGAAGTTTACATACGGAAGAGTGTGTTGATTTATTTGTTCACTTCTCGACATAACGTGTTTTGCACTTGTATCTTGTGGACCAAGTTTTTGAACTATGAAAACCCGTTTCAAAGTGAAGGGTGTGAACCCAAATGAAGATTATCCTAGATTTTTGATATTCTCTTAGCAAATGTTCCCTTAGTAAATTTTAGAATATTTTGATGTTAACATTATGCTATGTGTGTATCTTATTTTCATATGAAATACAATTTAAAAATATATTATATTCTATTATATTTAACAAAAACACCAACCCTTAACCTAATTGTCACATCATTAATCATTGAAGAGTACTATTGATCTATACCTATAAGGAACAAAGCTTCTTCTTTCACAAATAAAAGGAAGCGTCTCTAATATTTCAAATCTGGTTCCATATGATTGTGTAACTGTTTCTAGATTTTTGTTTCATCTATAAAAATCTGGCGTTGTCGGAAGATATTCTTGATGACTAGAATGAAAATATTATTGCAGAGAAGATTCGATATAATCTTATTCAGCCATCTCCAATCATATATCCAAGAAACAAACCCCCGCAAAGTCAATTGCATCCCAAGAAAAAAATAAGAAGCATCACCAAGTTTTACAAAAGAGAATCACAAAATATGAAAACAAGGCAATATTAAAATATGAAAACAAGGCAATAATATTTTTCTAAGGAGTACCCATATGGAATATAAAAGCAGAGATGTATGTTTTGTTTCATTACCTTTCTCTTGTTTTTCCCTTAAGCCAAGTACCTAAACATGGTAGGATTCTCCTTGTCCCTCTCCAAATAGTCTCTGGCTATTAAATCCTTGATACGTTTCTTGATCTCTTTAATATCAGGCTTGAACATCAGGCTAAGTTTCTGGACACACTCAGAAACAAGTTGTTGATATCCCAAAACCCTCATTCCCTTCATGATCCTGACAATGGCAGCATCAGTTTCATAGCGTCTGTCTTTATCCACATCTTCGGAGGCTTTCTTCCTTTCATCAACAGGAGGGAGAGGGATCTTTATTCTGTATCAGTTTCGATACGTTTCTTGATCTCTTTAATATCAGGCTTGAACATCAGGCTAAGTTTATGGAAACACTCAGAAACAAGTTGTTGATATCCCAAAACCCTCCTTCCCTTCATGATCCTGACAATGGCAGCATCAGTTTCATAGCGCCTGTCTTTATCCACATCTTCGGAGGCTTTCTTCCTTTCATCAACAGGAGGGAGAGGGATCTTTATTCTGCGCATTCCAACAGTGAATCCGGAGTTGAACTCAAAAACATCAGTCTTGGAAACAGTCTTTGTGCTTGGCTTCTTGATAAGAATCTTGTATTTAGCACATGACAAGGAATGAAGCAGCCACACTAGATCCTCATGGCTTAGGTTCAGCTGACTTTGGATGTCAGTGTAACTCAGTTTGTCTCTTGTGTTGAAAAGCAGAAGCAGAACAGCCTGGTGAGTAGACACAATCAGTTCAATAGGCTTTTGATCAAACTTTCCATTAATGTGACAAGTTCTTAGTGAGTGGATCCATGTAAGTTTCCTGCTTCTCGTTTTCATTTCATAGAAGTCTTTGAATTCTTCAACACACTTGACCATTTCACTGGGTAGATTTATGTCAAACGTCTTGTAATTCGGCTAAAAACCAGTGGTAAGAAGAGTGACGGTCAAACCAATCCCTGGTTTTGCATTATTGGCTGCATACTCGTTGAAACTGTTTTGGTTTTCTCTTGACAATATCATATCCTTCAACATTCCCTCCATCTTAAAAGTGAAACTCCCACCAAATTGTTGCTTGAGCTTTGTTAGGATACTTCTCTCATGATCATCATTTGCACCACGGTTCGATAAGAGCCTACGGGCCAGCTTCTTTCTGTAAAGCTCTGAAAAAATATCCCATTCATCACTTATGCAAGCAAGGAACTTGACCACCTTCTCAACACCTTCATCACTCAGCTCCCCACTTCCCCAATTCTTTAAGATAATTCCGTCGCAGAATGTTGCCAGTAATTCATCCCTTGAGTAGCTTCCAGAGGTTATTTTGATACAGAAACTCTCAAATGCCTTTTTAAAAGTGTTGTAAATGAGGTTTTGGTTTTGGAAACTACCAGTGACATAGACCATGTATTTATCATGCATCTCAATAATGTTTCTGAGAAGAACTTGTACCTTAGTAGCCGTATCTTCACCATCTGCGTCTGTGACAAGCTTCTGCACAATCTCACTGAACTCTGAGTGCTTCTTTTCAAGAAGTTGACTTCCACGCACTACCAACAACGCATGTTCTACTACCTTAACCAGCTTTGGCACACTGCTTGAGTGAAGGTAATTAGTCACGCTCTCCTTCTCCTTCTTTATGCATTCTTCGGCCTTGAGAGTGTAATCAGAAAAAGAATCTTCTTGAATCCATCTTGATGCCTTGGAAGAATAGTAAGACGTTGTATCTTCAAGAAAGAAGCTCTCGAAATCTTGTTCGTATATTTTCATCTCTCCCATTCCAATCTCTACATAAAACTCTAATACGTTCTTCATTAGCACCCTATCAATATCCACCCCTTCTCGCTCTCTATCAACTAGTGATACTACAGCTTCTTTGACCTTGAGTTGAAGCTTGTTATAAACCAGGTCACGGAAGCATGCCAGGCTAACTTCTTTCAGTGGTGCGAATGAACTGAAAGGAATGAAGGAATATTCAAGATAGTGGAAGATCTTGGATAGGGATTTAACCATCTTTTTATGGTTAGACCATCTTTTAACCAGCTCCTGCAGCAGCATATATTCATCGTCATGGTTCTCCCTTAATGCAGGCAAAGCTGTTGAGTTAATATAATCCTCAATTACTTCACCATACTTGTTATAAAGCTGCCGTGAGTAATTACAAGGAGGTTTCTGGATGCACATGCGGTAGACACTTGTGTAAAGCATCATATAGTCACTAGCATCAAATGAAGATTCAGGAAGTCCTTCCACAAACCGTTTTAGTTTAGTGATACTAGGTTGCATGTCGTCCCATCCTTGCTCAAAGTCAATCGTCTCGTGCTCCATGTTGAGACTTGACTCTTAACACCCACTCAGTAAATTTTTCGAGATCTTTGTTTATTTGTTATGGCTAATTAAGACAAATGTACATGTCCTTCAAAATAATATAACAAAGAACATTTCAATTTAAATTGCTTTAGATATGCTATGATTTTATTACTAAATAATTTTTTTTACTTAATATAACACATTATTTGCAAAGTTATTTTTCGAGATTTGGTTATCTGTCAACGCCATATTTACCCATACAAAAAAAAGATAACATATCTAACTAAAAAAGATAATATCTAAAATAATATAATAGCATTCTAACCTTTGCTTAGTATCATATAATTGTTCTTATCTAAATAAAAATATTTAATTCTAAAATTGGCAAAGCTGTTTATTGGAAGTTTTTTTCTTTTGCTTATGATGATTATATTTACCTAAATATATTTATCAAATATAAGTTTAATTTAGTTTTAAAATACTTAGTATATTTATACTCATTCATAAACTTTATATGAATTTTTCTTTAATACTTGTATATGAAAAACCTCAGACTTAATATACTATGTTGGGAATATATGAATTTCAATAAATGATTATCTTCTATTATAACATCCAAAAATTTAAAGTTTGTTATTTTTGAGTTCTCTTTATATATTTATACTATTTAAAATTTAAAGACTTGACTCTTAGCACCCACCAAGTAAATTCTTTGAGATCGTTTTTTATTTGTTATGGCTATGATATTATACCTAAATAAACACTTTTTAACTTAATATAAAAAGAATATTTTAATTTAAATATGCTATGATATTATACCTAAATAAACACTTTTTAACTTAATATAAAACATTATTTGAAAATTTATTTTTGGAGTTTGGTTATGTGTCAACACCCTATTAACCCTCACAAAAAAAGAATAACATACCTAACTAAAAAAATATGACAGAAACATTTTGTTTTTTGACAGCATACGACATGTCATTTTTATTGAAATAAGGTAACAGCACATTCTGATCTTTGCTTAGATATTCTATGATTGTTTTTTACCTAAATAAAATATTTATTTCTCTTTAATTCAAATGAATTTTCAGAAAAAATTGCGAAGGGTTGTTAGTTTTTTTCTTTTGCTTATCTCATATACTACGTATGATAGGTTAATTTTCGATAATTCAAATTTCTTTAATTAATATTCATACTATTAATTCAGGTTCACTTCATTGTTTAAACTTTTTTCATGTGGTATATTACGAAAAATACCATTACTTTTTAACTTCTCTTCTAAATTTCATTAAGGGTACTTTAGGCATACAATTTTGGTCTAATTCATCTTCACATGTTTATATTATTCATTATAGTCTTCCATATTTCATATCAAAATAACGACACAAATATCTATTGATATACATATATCCTTGAAGATGAGAAAAAAGAAAAGTCGACCTGGATACTTTTTCTCCGGACCTTTGAACAGTCGCGATGATCCTTGCATTTGATCGGTATGATCGAGAAATCCAGATGAAGAGAGATTATGATATCGATCAAGGCGATTTGTGCTGGAGAAAACTTCCGGATTTTATAATCTGTTCGGTGAGCTGTTATTTAGATGAAGCAGAAGTATAGATAAATTAGACTCACATATCAGCTTTCCAGATGAAACATTGAAGTGATAACCGAGATGTTGTTGTGTAGATAGAACAATTATCGACTTATACCTTTTAAACATAGTTTGTATGTTCAGATGAATGTATCCAATGGAGACTGCAGGTCTCTATAAGAAATCTGTTTCATAAAAACGAAAACCTTTATAAAATCAGAAATTGAAAGACCTTTCAAAGTTATAGTTATTTTGATCATAGCAGATTAATGGACCTGAATTGATTGTTGTCTATTGATTTAGAATATGGTACTATACCATTTGATGATCATTTGGTTGCGGATTTTTATGAGCAAGAGTCACTGTATGCAAATGTTGAAGACGGCATCAAATCGCTGTTCATAAGAACTGCAATCAAAGGTAAAGTTTGATTAGATGTATCAAAGACACATCTATTTTGGTAATAGAATCCGATTAACAACTTCAAAGAAGAGGTGAACAAATCAGCTAACAATATTACGAGAAGTATGTCTTTGCCATAAGCCAAAAGGGTTTGTAGATGTAGATTTGACATAGATAACTTTTCAAATATGAATTATAAAAATTAGCATTGTTGCCGTTGATTAGTCCAACCGAATCGTGTGTTACTGTCTTGATTTGAAGTTTCATTGATGTGACAAAAGTAAATTTTTTTCTTTTTTCTTCTCCCAATATATGATATATCGAGAAGTTCAACATCTATTAAAATAATAGGAAGCCCTACAACGAGTGTTCTATAAGAGAAGTTTTTTGGTTTTAGTTATTAAGTTTTGTAAGAGAGAAATGTCTTTTTACTACCATTCAAAACCTGGGAGAATGGAAGACGGATTGGCAAATTTGTGTGAAGGTCTACAGGAAATGGAGAGTACTTAGTTATGGTAGCCCTGTGTTGCATTTCATTTTCGTTGATCAACATGTAAGTTTCGTTTACTTTGTTTTTTCTTTTTCATATACCATTTAATTCATCTATGGTGTATCCTAAATAGCCTATGTGTATGATAGGGAACTAAAATACAAGCATCAGTGGAGATGGTGTCTTTGATTGATCGCTTCGATAGCGAGTTATATGAGGGACAATGGAAGATTATCAAACATTTCGTAGTTAGAAATGTCACTTCTCCTATCCGCTTGACTAGACTTACGAAGCGTTTGATTATTGTGAGTAATTCCGAAGTTTTAGAAACGTACCAACATTCGTTTGATCATTTTATGAAGTTTATCAGTTTCGAGCATCTAATGCCTGGAATTTGGAATAATAGGAGCTACCCTGTTGGTATGTATTCTCTAATAGTCATGTTCTAACGCTATATATGAATAAGGATGTATTTAAATGGAAATTTGGTATTTGCAGATGTTGTAGGAATCGTTGATCATGTTGGAGAACTCGAGATTGTTCCATCTCCTCATTCAGCTGATATAAATATATGACAATTGCAATTTCGTCTCAAAGACACATAGTATGATTATTTTCAATGTTTTGTCTTTAATTGATTCATTGTTGTTAATACTAATATTGGTGGATTATCCGTGATTCCTATTTCTGAATAACGTAAAGGGGTTACGAAGTCGAGTTTGTTGCAAGTGGGAAGATGGCTATTGAATTCTATGAGCAATGGAACCAAAATTACGCAGATGGGGGATTAGTTATTTGTGTATTGACTGATTGGCGAGTACATGATGATGGTTGGTTCTGTATATAACCTTTACTAAAGTTTTCAATGGAGTTATTCATATCCAGATTCAGATTTGGTCTAATCCATCATCATGCATTTATAATATTAGTCAAGTGCAGTATATATTTAATCCCTCGAATTCGATTTTGTAGCTATTAAAGATGATGGAGGTATCTCTAGGTTGTAGTTTGATCTTCAGATTGACGAAGTTGAAGAAATTAAGGATATAATGTATGGATATAACTAAATTATCCCAATTTTGTCATTTATCAGTTATTATTTGACTAAATATGTGAACCTAAATTCTTGCAGTATTAACCAAGAAGAAGATGGTATTGTTACGATTAGCGACGAAGATGATGATGGTGGGGAGTAATTGATACGTGCATATTTTTGATGTTTTTATCTATGCTATTGTTGGACCTCTATTTTGAATGTCTTCTATGGTTGTTATTTAGCATCTTTCTATATTTTGGAACAATGTACTAATATATTTCGTAGTCTACTCATGGACTGTTATATATTTTAGAAATTTCATATTTGTTCATAGAGAGAAAATCAATTGATTATATTTATATCAATCAATATATATTTAGAAGATGTAATCAACTCAAATAACTAATCAAAATGAAAGTTGATTAATATGAATGTATTTTAACGTACTAAATCCTATTTAATGTTAGAAAAAAAAAATTTAACTTAATTCTGTAAATCTGGTTTGTTGGAAACTAACGAATAAAATCTGTAACGAGAATAACCATTATATCATTGATTAATTAGTTATTCCTATAAATTATGTTCTGTAAGTGATATTAATTGATTACAGTTATGAACTGATATACAGAGAATATTTAATTAGGTATTTAGATTCAAACCTAATTCTTTGGACTATATATAGTCATTCATCATTTTCGTAAAATGCATCATCTTATATCATTTTTAGTGCAGAATAATCAAGCTACAACTGCAATGGGAATTTCAAACATGATACGTACCTTAAGGATGTGAAACCGTTCAAGTCAGGGTGGCGTGTGCAAGTTAAGGTTTTGCATTCCTGGAAGCAGTACTCTGTTCCACAAGGAGAATCACTGGAGATGATTCTAGCAGATGAATCAGTAAGTTTTCAAATGCAATATATTCGCGATTTTATCAAGAGATAGAATACAATCCAGTCTAATTATATTTTATACTGCGCGGTGTCAAAATACATGCGTAGTTAAAGAAAACTTACTGGCCAAGGCTTCAGAAGGAACTTCCCGTTGGAGAGTGGAGAATTATTGAGAACTTCACTTTAACTCCCGCATCTGGGCAGTACAGACCCACTGAACATGCATACAATATATCTTTCGTCAGTTGAACATCTGTCACAAAGTCAAAATTGAAGAACATTGATAACTTTCTTTCTTTCACCACATTCGAGGAGATGTTACGAGGGGATCTAAGAACTCACTTCTTGATTAGTAACTGATTCTGTCATAATTTTATCCTATGTTTTAATAGTATGTTTATTATCATTTAGAATCTTTTGATATTACAGATGTGATTGGCCAAGTCGTTGATATTGGTGAAATTGATAATGTCCAAGTCAATGGTAAAGACAAAAAGAAGATTGAGTTTCACTTAAGAGATACTTGGTATTGTCTTCTTAAGGATATCAGCGAGAGGATTTTCTATGTTTTCTTTTTTGATATCCACTTACGTTCATTTCTGTTACTGTTTGTTC